TTTTACATGTTTGGAAGCACCGAAAATATACTCAATATTTAAATTTCTCGCTGCCCTATATTGTTATACTTTCAATAACGTCGCTGTAGCTCTATTGTGACGTCACGGTAACGCACGTTTCTCCGTGTATATTTCTACGCCTGAGTATACACAAAAATGATTTTCAAATCAATTTCACAGTTGGCTTAGTACAAAAACACAGCGAATGTAAATATAAAGCAGTGGTCATTTTCAAAACTAATTTGATGTCCTGTTTTCATTGTCTACATTAAAACGAAACGAATGGTTTGATTACCCCCCTCACCCCACCCCACCTCCAATTTTTTTTGGATGCGCAAGTTTTTTTTTTATCAGTATAGAAAAGGGAGGCCTTTCAAAGATTAATTCCGATTTTTTTTTTTATTTATTCTCTCTTAGTTTTTTTTTTAAATAATTTTTGTTTGTTTCGATCAGTTTTGCTTCTCCATTTTCGTTTTTACACATTTAATTTACTAAAAATTTCTTTTTTAGTTCGACCATAACCTTGAATGCGCTGCCCAGTACAAGCACCGCATCCCCCCTTCTAAAAAAAATCATCACTCATATATTTGATCAATTAAATTGCCGGCACGTATCATCGTTTTTGAAAGTGGGGGGGGGGGGGGCATACAGAATTTTTTTTTTAACAGACCCGTAAAAGTTTAAAAGCAAAAAAAAGGGGGGGGATGCCCAAACGCGAAAATCCTATTTCTTAAAAGAAGATAGCCAATTCTCTGTTCATTATACAATGTTTGTTTTGTTCTGTTTTTTGTATGTGTATATAACTGTGATGATTTTGGACATTGTACTGTATGCTCCACTGTGGGCCCAAATTGGTTGAATAAATATTCTATTCTAAATATTCTATTCTAATATTCTATTCTATTTCGTGTGTGTGGGGGGTGGGGGGGGGGGGTAGTGGTCAAATTTTTTCAAGGCCAACTTCATTCCACATCCAATTTTTTGGTATACAATACTACATTTTCCTTCACATCACTATAGATGTGGGTGGGGGGGGGGCAACCACGCTTTCAATGGACATTTTCAATAGTAAAGGTATAGTTGGAAAAAAAAGTGGGAGGGGACAGGCCCCCCTTGGCCCCTCTGGTTGTTACGTGCCTGAAATTGTAATGAAGCGCCGGATCATTGTTTTGAAGTTCACATCATCGGTAAAGTGTATGTTGTAGAATTTTTTTTTTCAAACCTGATTTCCGTATTTTTTTTTTCAATCAAAGATGTCATTTTCAGAGGATCATAATAAGTTGACATTTGGAAGCTGTTCACCCCTTTCTTAGTGTAGACCTATCTCAATTTACTCTGCGATTGTATTTAATCACTGCTTATTTACGAACTCTTAATAATATTGTCTGTTGACTTTCTTTTTATCTCTGTTAAATAACCTTTTATAAAGCCATTTCATAAAAGCATATGATTTTAATTTTTTTCTTCATTTTTTTCAATCAGGAATGAAAGAAATTTCGACATTTTTATTTTACCCACCCTGTCATAAACTGACTATAAGAATGAAATGTTAAATAGGATTTTTAAAAAAAAATTTAACTACGTTTTTTTTTTTTTATATAATCCTACAATCATAATTAATTTGTAGCTTTATTAATTCTATTGGGAGGGGGTTATGGTGTATACACATCACTCGGAGCTCCTTGGATGGCTCGTATACCTGTTTGAATGGAGTGTAGCGGAGTAAGCCGAGGATTGCCGGTTGTGCACATTATGCCAAAATGATCTTTCTATCACAGATAATTGAAGTTTTTGCTTACAGTCACGTTTTGAAATATCTACCGAGAACAGTGTGTGTATTTACATTGAAAATTGATTGAATTTTCAGGTATGAGGCCCATTTCACACCGTCTATAGTTCTATACATCAATTTTCTTGTTCTCATTGACATTGAATACAAATTTAATTGATTATTTAATTTACATAAATGTAACTGTGTATCAACTTCTATATTACAGTAATGTTTAGATTAGACATCTACAAGGTAGAATTACGATCATCCGGGACCCTTGACTTGTTCAAAATTGAATTAAATATTGCATGAAACAACGTACAAACACAAACACGTGAATAATGTGACACATAAAACAAATTATACATATCGATTATATTCTAACAATTTTAGTAAACTCACTAAACTCTGAAAGTCGAATTTAACATCTGACTTTAACTTGATTGTGTTGCATCAAGTCTAGATATATACGTAACCTTTTTTTTTTTAAATTTATTTATTTATTTTTAATTTTTTTTTTTATTTTAAAGTCATGCATCCAGTTTTACTGGAGGATCCGGAGGTGGGGTCATCTGTTAAAAAAAATCATTGCAAAACATAAAAAAATACTATGAAAAAATATTCTAAAACTTAAAACGTGTAGAAAAAAGAGTGGGTTCCCACAACAAATGAAAAAAATGAAGGCAAAATTAAAATCAGTAGGGACTAACATTATTCACGCTATCAGCTGTTAAGGCCTTTATATGTTTAATTTTTTTTTTGGGGGGGGGGGGGGGGTAAATAGGTAATGTGTCAAATTATGTTTTTATTAAATATATTTTTTAAAATAATGATTTAAAATGCTACTTGTGAATATTTTCTATCGTTTTACTCACATACCAATCAATAGTATGCAAACGATTTGCTTCCTCGGGTTCCGCATCGTTTGTGGTCGATTCTTCTTCGTCTGACGGTTCACTAGCGTAGGGCTCAAAACGAGAGGGTTCTACTCCCACATTTTCTGTATTATTGTACGGCAATGAATCCTCATCAAAACTTGACGATCCACAAGAAAGTTCTAACGATTCTTCCTCTAATGAACCATCAGAATTATCCGAAACAGCGTTTCTGTCTATCACTTGAGGGAAGCGAGACACACTTGTGACGTCATTTAACTTGATTGCATTTAAACCGGAAGTGACATTGTCAAGGATTATCGATCGTTTTCACAGGTGCAAATGCAGACGTTCAACATTGATTATCTTTGAAACGGCGGGGCCGATTTTAGTCGGATTTTCGCCAAAATGTTTTATGAAGCAGGTTTAGTGAATAACGTTGATGAGTAAAAGTACCGTGGCCTATCTTTTATCTTTCAGCAATAAAATCATATTGTGACATTTACGTATAAATCAAAATAATATTGTCATCAAGTCCGTGTCCAATTAATATTAATATTTTTATTCAAGTTTTGCTTACAGGAAGTTATTATTTTAGTCGATAAATCGAAAGCATTTTCTATTCCTGGTATTAATTTAAAGCATTTCCTTATATGGTAAAATACATTCTAAAAATAAAATTAAAATTCTTTTAAAATAGAAATCATGAACACCCGTAGAGTACCTAGGTACATTGCTGAAACCAAGGTTCCACCTAGAAATAAAATATTTGAACAAAGATTTTAACGAAAGGGACTGATGGTTTCTCTACAAACAATTCAATTTACGTAAACATTCTACTTTGTCAATAAATGAAAAAGGTTAAGATAACGAACAGTCATCCACATGTATCAAAACAAGATCTATTACCAATACAAACTGGGAAGATCAAAGTAGGAATAAACTCTAGAAAAGATTAACAGTCATATTCATAGCCCATCATTGAGTACGCATTTCCATAGACTGGATTCAGAAACTAAAAACAGTCTTTCCATATGGATTTAAATGTCAGAAGTGGATTCGAAACAATTAAGTTCAGAGTGTTCTGATATAAATGTGATGGAAGTTTTAAACTACGCACAAAAAGACATGGGCATCGGCCGTTCTATAAACATATTACACACGAGGTTTTCTTCATCACTGTTGCAACAAACTTCACTCTGTCTCTTTCATAATATAATATGCTATTTATTAAAAAGAAAAATTATCTGGATTCATCGACAAAAGAATACTAGTAAAGGGTTGTATCATAGTTTTATGAATATTGAAAATCAACAGCTATTTTAAGTTTCGCGGATTATGAATTTGCTAAAAACATGTATGTTTATTAAACCAATAATTTCCAAACAAGGTATGGACGTTAACATCAGTTATGTTTTAAACACAAATTAGCCAGGTCTGTTTTCCACCATATTTCAAATATAATTTCACAACTTGTATTTTAGTTGAAAATTGTGCCTCAAATATTGTTTCCAAACACAGGATATATGAACCTGACTTTATTTCAAAGATGATGAAAAGATGATAAAAAAATCTTTCATGAAAAGAAATCACTTTAATTCTATTTTTTGCACATGAATAAAACCAATAAAATCTCACTAAGTATTCATCTTTTGAATCATCATAATATGGTTTATTGCTAAGTGAAAATGAAAATGTTATTATCTATATTTACTCTGTCATTTTTAGTGTGTAATAGATTTCCTATGTTTTATTAGAACAGTTCTATGGTCGATGCATTGATCTTGTCAGCAAATACAATTTATCATTGAGTTGTTGCTGACTGACGTTTTTCAGACTAATTGTTAGTCCATTATTAATACACTGAATTGGCGACGGATTTTTCCGTTTTTTTCTGATCATGACCAGGAGAACACGGCGGGTGTGACCATTTAGTAGGGAATGGTACTCCCCTATGGCACCTGATCCCACCTCTGATGTTTCAGAGGTCCGTGTTTGCTCTGCTCCTATTTTGTATTGTTTTATGGACGTTTGATATTAATAATTCTTAAGAAGGAACGATCACATTACGTTCAAGCACAATCAATGACAGATCATACGAACAAAAAAAAATTGATGCCTGGGTGTTTATATATTTCTGGGTTTATTTTTGTTGCAAATGATACAACTTATAATTTTCAAAAATTTTAAGATCTTGTAAACGTTCTATGATGTTCAAAATTTCACCTTTCTGTAACGATTCTTACCAATCCATACAATTATGTTTCAATTCAAATTCCATTTTTGTGTAAATTTGAATAAAAATAGTGAAAACATACGTGCTTAAACGTATTCATTTTACTCATCGAAACATAACTCAGGTTGTTATTTGCAATAGCTATGACAAAATTTTGTTTGTAATATATATCCTTAAACTTAATTATTAAGTTAATTACATTTAAGATTAGCGTCTTAAATCAAAACCTTGTGATGTACAACAACCGAGGTTTGTAGAAAATTGAAAAATACAGATAAAAAATAAACTGAATGAATGCTATAAAACTAAGAGCAATAATGCTAGAAAGGAGTGCGTTTGAATTTCTGTATCTTCCCGTAGACGTGCAGTTGTCTTCCCTACCTGAAGAGAAAAAAAATAATTCTTTTATCGAAAATTCCTTGTTTTAAATTATCGCCTTAAAACTAGTTTTTAAGGATAAAGAAATAGTAATACACGCATATGTATACTTTGGAACAGTGTCACCCTCTGGTAAAATTTATCTTCTGCTTGGGTTCGCGCATTTTATGGAGTGTTGCAAACGGAATATAGAACATATGGAATTCTCATAACAGACTTATACTCCTTATCTTTAGTTTAATATTGTGTGTTTCTCTAAATTTCTACAAATATCTAGATAAAGGAAAGAAGATGGGCGAACAAGGCGGGCATAATGCCTATAGCGTCAGATATTAAGAAATCATATTAGATATGTGAAATGGTTATTTAAATTAACTTATAATTATTGAAATTTTAGAAATTATGAGAAAAAAAATTTTCTGAGAGAGAAAAAAATCTCGTAAAAATTTTTCTATCATAAAATTATTAGATGGGATTCGAACCCCCTAAGCAATAAAAATCCGACGTATCAATAGCATACTGCTTTGAGACTAACGCGTTAACCACTATGCTATACCGCTTATGGAGATTCAAGGCATTTAAATCTTATTTGTGATATGACCCGCGACTTAATGGACTTGAAGTATTTCTCGGAAAGATGCTAATGTTGTGTCATAAAAGTGCACTTTTAAGGTATAGTGGGTCCTCTCTCCATTTTTTTTGAAAACCAATAAATGTGTATTTAATTGCACACTTTTAGGATCATCTTTCAAAACAATGGAGAGAAGACTCACCCATATTGAAAATTTTTGTTTAAGTATGGGAAAATGATCGTTTTTGTTCTTTTTAGTATGTGTAAGCTTTTTCATAGGCAAAAATTTTAAGTCTTTGTGAGATTGTTCTAAATTGTAGAGATTTTACATAAAGTATACTATAATTTTCGATGAAATATCAAATAAAATTTGGATTTAATTGAGATTAAAATTTTCACTTCTTATCTGTCGGACTATAGGCATTCTGCACGCCTTATACGCCCATCTTCTTTATGTAAGAGTTTACAATAGTTCTCAGACAGCTCAAAACTTCATTGTTATTTGATACCACCTGCACATCACTCACAATACCTCTAATACATAACATCTTATTGGGGATCCTTACCTTCATTGTAAAACATTTCGTTTCCCTCACCTCCACAACCAGTAACAAAATCACACTGTTCTTCTCTGCATTTACATTCTGACTTGCAATTTTCACCATAATGTGGATATGAGCAATTTCGTTGACATGACTCTCCTACGAAACCGAGTGGACACTCTAGAAAAAAAAGACAACGTATGGAATATCATTGGAAAATGCAATAAAGGCTATACTTATTATTTATATTTTGAAATTTTAAACAAAATTCCTTATCTTACCATCATTTTAAACAAGCATTTTAATCGTAGAATTTCCTTGCAGAGCAAATTATTTAAATTTCCCATTTTGCGATAAAACCAATTTTCAACAGTGTCTATAAGATTTGGAATCGACTGAATTGACAAAGTGAAACAAGATTTAAAGTATTGATTTAGAGGTACCCTTATTTTATAACCCGAATTTTTAGATACGCTACATATATACAATATAGATATGTCTATACCTTTGCATCCATTTATGTGATCACAAAGTTGCTGAACACATAAACACGCTGACTGGCAACCATCTCCATAGTTTGGGTATCGACAGGGTAATTCACATTCGGGTCCAAAATATCCTACACTACAACCTTAAATAATAAAAATTATTTTATGAAGAATAGATCACCTTGATATTTCTATCTACTCTTTTCATTTGTTGAGAGAGAGAGAGAGAGAGAGAGAGAGAGAGAGAGAGAGAGAGAGAGAGAGAGAGAGAGAGAGATTTTCCATTGAAGGTACGTACCTGAAATGTTCTTCAAAAATATAATTTCAGTTGAAGACATCAGTAAAAGTTGCAATAGTAACATAATGTTTCGGAAAATTGCTTTAAACATAGTGTGCATCTTTGTTGCTTGTATGATAGATATTTTTAAGGGAATATATTTAGAAGCACTCCAGCTGCAAATGATCGCGATATCTTAATATGTAGTGTTAAGCATGCATTTTAACTTCCTGCTCAATTTCAAATCTGGAAACTACAATAAATATTATTAAAAAAATAATATCAGTTTAATATTTATATATCAATCAAAATAAAACAGGAAGAAAGGCAATGCTGCAGCTGCAGGAATTTATTTCGGAAATAATGTTTTACCCATCGTATAATAATAACACAATATCCATGAAAGAGTATCACCATCCGAATTCCTCATTTACACTTTCAAAGGAGATGCACTGCAGTTTTTATTACCACAGTTAACTTCGATAATGTATCTTCATAACCAAATATAGCATGTTTTGCTTTTGTTTCTTTAATCTCCGTGAACTACGACAAAACTCTGATCGCCGAGCGGAAAACTTAACAGCTACCATTGCGAAAATGTGAAGATAGACAACATTAGCTGAAATGTCAATAAAACAAATCACCTTTCACTGCTAATTTTGCGGGCGTTGACCATTGATCTTCATTAATTTGACCTATTTTTTGAAAAAAAAAATTACCTCTAGTAATATGTTTAAAATATTTATACTAGGGCTTCTTTTTCTTACTGGTCATCTACCTGACTTGCATTTTAGAAACTTACATCTTCGCTCTCATAGGAAAATATTAACATTAAGTGTAATTTTTTTAAGAATCGCAAGAAACTTTCATTAAAAAATGATTTCTTGTGCATGAATAATTTCAGGGGAAAGGTCGAGTTTATAAGTGTTCTCTGAAGCTTTTGTGAATTATGACAATTAAATATCAAAAATTGGAACTAAATTATAATATGCAAACATAAATCAGAGGGTATTACAATATAGTAAATCAAAGTATCATAGTTTTTACTTTTGAAGGTAAAAGTTCAATGTTTTTCACTTAGTGAATAAAATATTTTTATCAAGATTTTTTTTTTAACATTAAATCAAGTTTAAAAGTTCTCACATATATAAGTCGAAGTTTAAAAATTCGTTTTTTTAAGTAAATTAAAAATCCAATTTATTTAAAAAAGATATTTTTGTAAGAACGACCGCTATTTTGATCTAAAATTCCTTCTATTCTATTTGTTTGTATGCTTTTGATATACAAATGTGTTTCATAGAAATTTTAGTCACAACCATTACTTTCGTAAATAAGGTCCAAAAACATTAGCTGCTTAAAATTTTATTTCAAAAAACGTGTCAATTAATTTCCGTATTATTTTAACATGCTAAAAATTGTTAAAACCATAATTATAATATTGCATCCATTATTTTGCACCTGTCTTATAAGGATTAGTTTTGAATATATATGCATAATTTGCCATTTTTAAAATAAATTATACTTTTATTTTCGTTTTATCTCATGATAAAAAAAAATGCCTTTTTCGCAACTTCTGCTTTCAATACGTTCATATTTTAGTTTTTTTCAAAGAAAAGTTTAAAAAAAAGAAGAGATCAGATAACCTTGACACATTCTGCAAAATCGAATCGTATGATAAGTATATAATATTTCCTTTGTATCGGGAGCTTAGCGTTTGGAATTCTGTTGAAAGTGTCTGTCGACGAACTGCATGTTGCCCGCTTTACCTGCAAAAACATTTTACCTGAAGATAAATTGCTAAAATAAATCTTCGAAAGACAAGGAAATTATTCAAAGTAATATTTAACATGTTTTAAATATGAATAGATATATATAGAGGTATACCTTTAACTTTGAGTAAAAATCTTCTGTCAACAATTCTCGTCTGATTGGATTACCGATTTTTATAACGTCTTGGGAAGGGGATTTATTATAAAATACAAAATGCTGAGATTCGAAATACATATTTCTTATCGCTTGAAAAATAGTCTTTCTGATGCCATATGCCAGAAACTCCCCAAATAATGAGAAAATATATTTCAAATGCTGACTGACGTTTTTCATACTTATTTTAAGGCAATTATATATACACTGGATTGTAGACGGACTTAAGCGTTATTTCCTGATCATGACAAGGAACATACGGCGGATGTGACCGGTCTGCAAGGGTTGCTCTCTGCTCCATAGTACCTGATCTCACCTTTGATGTTTTTGGAGGTCCATGTTTGCTCTGCTTCAATTTTGTTTTGTGAAATAACTAACAGTATTCAAGCTCCTCAAAAATTCATTAAACAATGCAAAAAAGGAGCAGAGCAATGAACTGTTGAGCTTCATTACAGTTTATTATCTTCATATATGAAGGATATGGAGATAAGATAACAGTATTCAACATCAAAGTCCATTAAACAATACAAAATAGGATCAGAGCAAACACAGACCTCCAGAATATCAGTGGTGGGATCAGGTACCATGGAGGAGTGAGCATCCGCTCCTGACTTGTCACACCAGTCTCGTGCTCCTTGTCATGATCAGGAAACAAAGAAAAAAAATCCCGTCGTCAATTCAGTGTATAAATAATGGACAAACAATTAGTATGAAAAACGTCAATCAGATTTTGACTCAATGGTAAATTGTATTTGCTGGCAAGGTCATTGTATCGACCATCGAACTTACAAAATGATGACTTTAAACGAGCCTGCTGTAATTCTTATTTCATCAACTTGTTTTTCAATAATTTACCTCGCTGCAGAAATTGTTCATACGTAGAGGATGCTCTTGCTTATCGAATCAGCTGAGATATGCAAAGTGCGTATTCAGGTGTTGAGGATATATTGTGGCATATGTAAGGGAAATTAACGATAGAAAAGTTAAAGTCATCATGTTTATCATAGAACTTGGTTGTTAGATTATAATTAACGTCTTTTTCAAGTTGGTATCTTTTATCTCAAGCTCACCATGATATACCATATCGACATAAGAATGGAAAAAAACATTGTTAATTGACAGTAGGTTGTCATTACAGTGGACTTGAGATATCCGGACCTCAGATATCCGGATGCTTCAGTATCCGGACAATTTTTCATCGGAACGGAATTTTTAAATGTTATATTGTTTTGTTTAACTGGTGATTCAGGTATCCTGACGCTTCATATATCCGGATAAATTGACAAGGAACCAAAGCATCCGGATAAATGAGTCTCCACTGTATATCTAATTGTCGAGTTGAAGGGCACATCAATTTGTTTTCTTTTTAAGCATTAAATTTTGCACAAATTCTGCTTCATATGAATACAAAAGTAGGTCTGCTAATACCGGGGCGCAATTGGTACCCATGGAGATTCCAATGCATTGTTGGAAGACCGGGTCTTCAAAAACAACATAGCTATTGCCAATCAGAAACTTAAGGATCTTTTTGATGTCGACTTCAGAGTAACTGTGTGTACAATCAGAATGCTTTTTAACAAAATAATTTAGCAAATGACCTTTGACAATGTAAGTAAATTTTCGAGTTATATTTTTATTG